TAGGTAGCGTCAAACATTCTTGGGCAACCTGCACACGTCCACATGACCGAGTCGACAGAAGTGTCGCAAGCACAAATTTCGCAAACCATGATGTATGCAAGTAAAAATAACTGAATCACCAAAGGTTAAAAAAATAGCACTAATTAACACCGAGGAGTCAAATAAAAGTACGTTCGAAGTTATCGACGATCGATTGCTTTCATGATTTCAATAATAACTTTGGAAGAGGTAGCAAAGATTTCATCTGTATGGACTTAAACTTTATGCTGCGTATTATTTATTATACAATCAATTTAGTTTTAACGCGATTTTGGTTTTATTATTTATTTTTTTCATGCAGGATAGCTATAGCATTCTTAAAACAACTTAGTTTTGCATTGATTTTTTGAAACAAGTTGCATTGAATTTGGTTGCAAATTGAGATCACTCGATTAAAACTAGAGGTGAAAAAAAAATCCCGTGAGAACAGAATTGAACACCTGAAAGTTACAGAAAGTACGTTGTTGTTTCATTTTTTAAAATAAGATGTAATTTTCTTAAACATGCCAATATTAGAAGATGTTCGTACACCGTTGCTACATACCTTTGAATTTTTAAATTTTTGAATATTCGCACATATTCTTGTCTTCGATCTAATCTTATTTTTCATACAAAACTTGTATTTATGGGGATATGGGTGACTGTATTTGGTTTCAAGATCATTATCATTGGATTATTATTACTCTTATAATGCATTGTTGAAATTAGCACTCTGGTGTTTTAATATAAATTCCCGTTTATCTTAATATCACTAGTTTACAGCATTTTTGAACTCGGTAAGGTGATGATCATTTCCAATGCAAAATCCTACGCTGAATTCAATGCCGTGGTCAGAAAAAATTAAAGTAGAGCCATTTTTGAGATGTACAAAAATTTTGATTTTTTGAATTTTGGACAAAAGTACGATTACTAAATGTCAATATCTTTGAAACTAGTGCACCAATTTTAAATATTTTTTTTATGAAAATGAAGCTAAATTAATTTGCTATGTCTTAATTATGTCTTAATTAAAAATTTAATTTTGAAGTCATTTAAAAATTTACAGCATTTTTTTTATTTTTCCTGCGAATTTTCCATAAAAAACTTGTTTTAATCAACATTTTTAATGGAAAAAAAGATTCAAAAAATCATTCCATAATTTATTCTTAAAGTCCATTCAAAACCGGAGAAAATGCGCCTTTAATGGATGAAATCGGTTGGAAATTGTCGAAGTTATGGGCATTTTTGTAAAACACTTAAAAATGTTGCTGAAATACAACAGCTTTAGAGTTCCTTTTCTAGGTGTCGTTGTAAGCATCCAAATCGCATGTAAAGTTTTCATGGGAGATTCTTTTCTCTACATATCAATTTGATTAAGGCATATGAGGATTTAAAACCGAGTTGATACAAAAGAAATTTATTTAGGTTTTATTAAAAATGATTGAGAATCGAATGACTTTGTCTTCGATGTTTTGAACTTGTTTCTCGAATCAGAAACCAACAATAGTCACCCATCATTGCTTCATCCCAAAACCCTTGGTAACGACGTTCCATCATCTTCATTTGTTGGTGAAAACGTTCGCCGTGCTCATCACTCTCGTCACCAAGATTTTCCGGGAAAAAATCCATGTGAGAATGTAGGAAATGTATCTCCAAAGACATATTTACACCTGTGTTCAGTGAAATAAAAGGATTTGAAATTTATTATGTGTAACAAACACAATATTTTTGATTTATACCTATTTTCTCATAATTTTTGAGCAATTCATCGACGGCTTCCTCATAATCTGGGCTTCTGAAATTTCCTAAAAAGGTTGTGACAACACGCTGGAACGATTTCCACGCTTCTTCCTCATCTGGTGTCAAAACTGTATTGAATGCGGAATCATTGAGCAGTTTTTTGATCTGTGGGCCAACAAATACACCTTCCTTTATCTTTGCGTCAGATAAATTTGGAAATACTGATTTCAAGTACTGGAATGCCGACCCTTCTTTTTGCAACGCTTTGACGAAATTTTTGAATAGCACAAGTTTTATATGTAGTGGTGGAAGTATTATGCGTTCTTTTACCACAAGAGGATCATTTTTAACGTTGTCTTTACCAATTGTGAAATTATCCCGTTTTGGCCAATCTTTTCGGACGTAGTGTTCCTTACGAGCTCGACTGTCCCATTTACACAAAAAAAACACATATATTTTGTGTATCCCTGTTGCAATCCAGTCAACATGGCAACCACTTTAAGATCGGAACAAATTTTCCAATTGTGTTGATTGTAATTTATCAAATTGAGCAATAGAGCCATTGATTCATACGTTTCCTTCATATTAACGGCATGAGCTAATGGAATAGAAGGTTTCTCATTCCCTTGATGCAGTAAAACGGCTTTCAAGCTCAAATTGCTGCTATCGATGAATAAACGCCATTCAGCTGGATCATATGGCTCACCAAACTCTTCAAACAAGCCGTTTACGTCATGGCAAAAACATGCCTTGTTCTTTGTAGAATAATATTTGTCAAATTTCTTGTGACGATTCCTGTGACAAGAAATTTTGACCTCCTTGCTCAGCATGTTGTGTTCTTTCAAGCGTGATGCCAGCAATTCGGATTTCTCCTTCGATAAGTCGAGATCTCACACCAAATCATTAAATTCGGATTGTGTAAACAGTTTTGGGTTTCTTTCCAATTCCACCTCGAAGTCTTCCTCGCATTCCTCCTTCAATTCCTCCTCACTTTTTGTAACGGTCGATTCAACAGAGGGCGCTCGTTTCCGCTTTGGATAAACAGGATACGGGACCGAACTTGAATGTGGAACAGGTTTTGTCATAGAAGCCACTTGTGGATACTCAACTGTTTTGTGACGTCCTTGTTGCTTAACTTTTGTCAAGCAGAAATAACAATCCGTTGCATGACAAAACGGTCGACGCCATATGGTGGGCATGTCAAAGGACAAATAGTGACTGACAGATAACAAATAAGTGAGTTAGTAAGTAAGACATTAACACTTATCAAAAATAGATGAAGTAAGATAATGTCGATCAGGAAAGAACAAAGCACTACCATGCTGTACATAAATTGTTTATATGAAAGTTATTCAAAAAATCAATTTACCTTGCGCCTGACATCCACCTAGCCAAGCACGTTTTCCACGAACTACATAATACTTTTGGAATCCACGGTTTGTCAAAGTCTCCAGGATCAATTTTAAAATAAAGCCTGTATGCAGTTTGCAACGAAGCAGTGAAATTGACCGATTTTGTAAATATATAGTTGCCACACGCGTAACAAAACTTTTGAGGATCATTTTTACACTTGAATTCACGTTTTGTCGTATACATCGTTAAGCAATGTTAAAGAAAGAAAGCTGTCAAATTGAGTTGGTTGCGTTAGGTTCTCGCCGAGCGGTCTCACAAACACTAGCGTAAATTATATTGTTGAAAATATCCCATTTAATTTTGCGTGACAGCTGGTAGTGTTAGTGAAATGCACCGTATGCGTACACATCCGCAGAAAGTCTTACTGGAAGTGGTGCATGAACCTAGGAGCGGGACAACGGCCAATCTTGGAACATTCAATTTCCATGATTTTACAAAAAAATTCAATACTTCGACAATTTCCAACCGATTTCATCCATTAAAGGCTCATTTTCTCCAGTTTTTAATGGACTTTAAGTATAAATTATGGAATGATTTTTTTGAATCTTTTTATCCCATTAAAAATGTTGATTAAAACAAGATTTTTATGGAAAATTCGCAGGAAAAATAAAAAAAATGCTGTAAATTTTTAAATGACTTCAAAATTAAATTTTTAATTAAGACATAATATTCTAGTAAACGATATCAAATTTATTTGGCTTCACTTTCATAAAAAAAGATTTAAAATTGGTGCACTAGTTCCAAAGATATTGACATTTTAGTAATCGTACTTTTGTCCAAAATTCAAAAAATCAAATTTTATGTATATCTCAAAAATGGCTCTACTTTAATTTTTTCTGACCACGGCATTGAATTCAGCGTAGGATTTTGCATTAGAAACGTTGGTCAACCACTAAAGTTCACACTTTTTATGTTGTTTTGTAAACTAGTGTATTTTGCTACATAAAATAAAAGTTCTACTTTCCGAAACGGCTCATTCCGTTTCTTCTGATCGTATGACTCCTGTTTCAATTATTCGTGTATTTAAAATGGTCCTTTCATGATAGATTCGTTTTAAAAAATATGTAGAACAGTTATACCTAGAATTTCAACATGGGACAATCCCCCCTATTCTGCGAGTCACGTGACTCTCTCTCACCGGTGAGGTGACAATTGTCACCTCACTGGTGACAGAGAGTCACGTGACTCGCAGAATAAGAGGGAATATTAGACCTGATTTTGCTTTTATGAGCCCAGAACAAATGTTTTTTTTCTATTTTCATTCAAAATGTTTCCTAAAAAAGTACTGTTTTATGAACAAATGTGAAAAACGTCTAAAAGTAAAATAGGAAAGATGTGCGTGGAACGGAAGTGTATTATATATTGAAAATAACATACGTTTTGATAATAATTAACGAAGTTGTAGAGTGGTACATTTTTCGGGAAACGGTACATTCGGGGAATAACATTTCGAGGAAAAGTTAAAGTAGTATGTATTTATACTTTCTGGGACACCCTATTCAACCACCATCATTTGCTTGTTTAATACAAATAAATTTGTAACAGAACGATCTCTCTACACTCTCAAAGTCTACAGTAAAGCTGCTGAGTAACTGATCAAAACAATTTTAGCAGAACTTCCAGGATTTTTAAACTGAACTGGTGGAGTCCGAAGATAGGGGAAGGGGTTTGTAAAGTTGTCCAACGCTATCGGCCAGTCTGCTGTGTTCGGGTGCTCCTTTCGGACGAAAGACGACCCTACATCAAAAATAAAATTTCGGATTGAAAACAAAAACATATATGAAATTTTAATATTCTTAATAAGTAATCTTTTATTCGTGTATTGATACTAGATTTACAACATTGCCGTTAACCAGTCCTCTATAAATTAGAGAATGCATAATCTAAAAATAATATTCAGGTGTCTTTCACGTGGATTAGAAATACAAAAATCTTTAATATAAAAAAATATTGTATGTAAACTATCTTAAGGATTAAATAGGAAAAAAAAATAATAAGAGCAACGCAAAAACCTTTCCTTTAACTAAAAACAACAAAGTGAAAAATTGACATGGCTCATAATGCGGAAAAAATGGCAAGTAGGTAGCTACGAAAATAGCAAATGATTGTGGGGAAAGTATAATCGAAAGTATGTTACGTCAAACAATACCTTCATCTCATTTCATTCAATTCTTTATTATACAATCTCTTCTTCGTTGAGCAATTTGTAGAGGCAACTACTACAATCACGTGCCGTTGCTAGAGCTATTAATCATTTATTGATTATATGATACAATGTGATATGATGAAAAGAACATAGGTACATAGCTAAGGCACACTATCGCGTTCGATTTGTACCATCATTTTTGCTTGTAATCTAACAAGTGACTGAGCCTTGAGATGAGGGAGATCAACGTCAATCGATTCACAATATATTTTTTTATTTACTATTATTTGGTTTAAGCTGATTGTGCGATTATAAAATATGAGCAAAACATACTTTTGAAGTATTTTGAAGAGGACTGTCACAGTACGACTAGAACTAAGAGAAAAATCAGTAAATAACATCAAATTAATACTTTTGCTCACTTATGCTACAACTGAAAATTCGGGTTAGAATGATAAAACTATGACAGCGATTACCGGTTGGATCTATTGTACTGCTCTTCAAGCCGTTCTCGGAGATCGACATTCATGAGAAGTTGCGATTCCGGAAGCCTGAGATAGTGGCCGGAATAGGTTTGCGCCTGTTGCAACGGTGGTTGACATGCTGTTCGGTCTCGAGACGGTGGGGACGCATTGTATTCGGCGAAGTGCGAATTTTGAGACCGTGCCCATACATTTGTGGTAGCAGACTGTGACCTTCGAGGAGTAAATTGCTGTGAAAAGATTGCCTTCGCACATACCCGTCGTCCACCTTGCCATTTTCGAACAATGAATTTCATCCGTTCGATTGCAATTATGGCAGTTACAACGGCGCGAAAAGATCTTCGCTTGGTAGGATTTTCTTCTGCTTTAGAGCCTGCTGCGAGTGAGAGTCCTTGGATGCTAAGAGGTACGTTTTGGACACTGAGCATTTGAAGAGCCTTCGCTTCGTTTTCTTCATATGCTGTTAGCACAATTTGAAGATACCGTTTCTGATGAACCAAAGCTTTACGGTGACTTTCAGAACGCAGGTACTTGCCGAAAAGATGGTTTGCGCGTTCTTCCAAATCATCTCGATTGTAATGGTTACTGTGAATGTTGTAACGTTCCAGCTCTTGAATCCTTTGCTGTAACGCTTTTCGCTCTTCGACCATCAAACGTAATGTTTCCGCTTGCTGATGATTTTCACGTGCATTTGCTTCCAGCATACGATTCAGATCCTTCAATTTTGTAAGGAATTCTTCTGGTACAGGTCCCCGACCACCTTCCATCAATGAATTCTCTTTGCTCAACGCCTCCACTAGCTTAGATTCACTTTGACTTCGACGCTCAACTTCCAACTTAAGACTTCGAATAGTATCATGCAGTTGGGCGCGTTCTTGTTCCATACTTTCCAACCGTAGTCGTAGTTCTTGGAATTCGAAGGAATTCTGCCCCGAAGTTCGGTCCTTGCGCAAAGAACGCATCGACTCAGCTTCCTGTAACGCATTGATACGTTTTTCTAGGCTCTCAATCTCTTTGTGTGATAATATCAACTTTTCCTGCTCGTGGTCGAACTCAACCTCAAGCCGCTCCTTCTCCTTTGTTACTCTTATTAATTCCTTCTTTACCTGTTCTCCATACTCGCTTCTGTCAGCTATCTCCTTTTCGAATCTATTTCGTTCTCTTTCTAGAACTCGTTGTAAATCAGCTGCTCTCTCACGCTCCCTCTCATTTTGGGCATTCAAAAACTTAATTTCACTTTCAAATCTGGTGACCATTTCCGATTCGAACTCGTTGCTTCGGTTGAGTCTTCTGGATGGTGACTCATGTGGCGACTTATTTTTCATTAGCAAATAATTATCGAACGATTTTGTCCTCTGTACACCTGCCATCAAGGTAGAGAGGCGTTCGTTTTTACTTTTCTCTTCAGTCAGCAACTTTTGCAACGTACCCTCGTTGTCAATGGCTGCTTCCAAACGCAATCGCATTGCTTCTATTATATCTGCATCTTGCATCTGGATTGCATTGCTGTTGTGCTTTTCAGCTTCGAACATCTCCTTCAATTTATTGCTTCTACTGACTTCAGTTTTCAGCTGTTGTTTCAGTTCTTCCAGAGCTACAGCATCTGCTAGGTCCTTTTGAGCCTTTTTGATTTCCCTATCTGCTTCGTCTTCCGAGTTCACGTCGTCACTTTCGATAGCTTTCATTATGCTAGAATCTAACTGTGCGGAATAGTTTAGTTCCTTTTCCAACTGTTCGGCAATCTCCTCAACCGAGAACGGTTTTGGGCTAGAAGAATTATCACTCCTTTGTAGTTGTATATTCAATCGATCAATCTCAGCCTGCAGTGCAGTGTTGTGATCTTGCTCCTCTCGCAATTTTGTATTCAAGTTCACGCTATTCTCCTGCATTTTACTCTGAATATTGGACAAAGCCTGATGTAGGCTGTTCCCGTCATCTCCAATCTGCTGGATGATCATTTCTTTTTCTTTGAGCTGAGTTTTCAAATCTTCAGCTTCCCGCTGACAACCAGTTAGATCTATTTTCAGCCTTTCAAGAGCCAACATTTTCTCCGTTAGCAATACTTTGGTTTCCTGAAGCTCTTCTTCGAATTTTTCACAATTCTGCTTCAGGAACTGCACATAGGATGGATTGGAGGTCGGATTCGAAGAATTCTTTGCAATTTCATTCTTCAACCGATTTATGTCCTCATTCAGGTATCGATTGTCTTCGTTGAGAATCTCAAGCTCTTGCAGTCGATCCTTGTAGTTACCTTGCAGAATTTTCAATTCCGTCTCTCTCGCATCCAATGTTGATAGTTGTTCAAGGTATTTCTCTTCATTCTTACTGTAGTTTAAAATGTCCTTTTCCAACTTCGACATCAACTCGTCCTTATGCCCGATCGTCTTATTCAAAGACTCAACCTGTTGTCTTAGCGTATCAATCAAAAGTTGACTCTTCGATAGTTCTGATTTCAACGAATCTGACTCTCTAGTATGCTGTTCCATTTCCTGTCGAAGTTTTGTGTATAGATTATTCAAATCACTTACTTCCTGCTCCTTACGTGCCATGTTTTCGACCGTTTCTTTCAATTCCATCTCTTTCTGCTGCAATTTGCATGCATCCAGCTCAAGCTCATTCAACTCGTCTTTTACCTTTTCTAATTCATCTCGTAGATCTTTTTTCTCCTGCAGCAAATCTTCATACAGCTTATTTCTAGCAGCCAACTCTACCTGAAGATCAGATATTTTGTCAATTTTTTCCTGAACTTCAGCCTGCATTCCCTCGATAGCCTCGTTCTTTTCGTTAGTAATCCTATCTAATGTCAATTTTAATGATTCAAGCTCGTTCTCCAGCTTACCCTTGTCTTCTTCGCTAATATTTTCCGATATATCGGACAATCGTGTACCCCCGCTAGCAGCTTGCAGCTGAGCAAGTACTTTCTCGTCTTCATCTTGAATTTCCTCAATGAAAGCTGGCTCACGGAAACGGTCCCTGCCTTCCGTGGAACGTGATTCATCCATCAAGGAAAAATTGATATGTCTGGGGACGAATTCAGGTGTACCACTACTACTAGCACCGGTGGACGGAGTTGGTCGTGGGAATATGGCCGAAAAGTCCTGCAAAAATGCACCCTCGAAACCCAGCGGGAAAAGTGTTGCTTTCGAAAGGGTTGGTGCGGCCTGCAAAGGTGATACTTTGCTGCTACTGGGCGGTGGGTTTGTAGAGCTGCGGGCAGTCGATGCGGTTTGATGAGATTCCTTCGAGTTGAAAAAGTTAGAAGGAGTTTCCTGAAAACACACAACAATACGTAAGAAATATGATTTCAAAAGGAATGAGCTAGCAAGCAGATATAAATCGTTATTGCTCAAAAATATGTCAAGATTGCAATTGTTCAGTCTACCTACAATGTCTACAAAATTATTATTAAACTTTATAATTACTTTGAACTATAAGAGACGATCCAGCCCACAGCTGAAAGGCTCTATAAGGACAACAAATGTTTGGAAACAAATAGATGGAATAAAGATGAGAATATAGGTATATTTTGAGCGGATTTTAACCAAATTATTGAAAGAGGTTTGATATGACTGTTCATAAACTACTTAGACATATTTTAGAGGTTTTCTTTTTGCTGGTTGAGTATTGGTTAACCTTATCGCAAAAAGTTAGTTAAAGTCATTAGCCGTGTCTAAGTTCCGCAAGCAAAATCTACTGAGTACAAAGCATAATCAAATAAACAATTCGTTTTTTGATTCGATAAAAGTCGCTACATCATATTGAAAACTTAAACTACAAGTCAAACGGAAGCTGAATGTGAGGTAAAAGACACCTTTATCGTCAAGACACAAAAGTCGCTCCAGACCATCTATATCGCACGCGACGGAAGGAGAATATCTGGATTAGTAGCAAGTTTAAGAGTTAGGGAAGTAAAAATAAACAGAAAATCAAACGACTGGAAAACGAAAGCAAATTCACAGAATTGACTTACCATCGGGATGCTGTGTGCCGGCAAGAACGCTTCGTTCTGCTCGGGCATGCGTCGCATAACCATATCCGATTCGTCGCAATCGGTAATCGAGACGATGTCACTCAGCGTGCGTTGGTTGTCATCTTCTTTACCATGGTTGAGTTGCGCTGGGGTTTGATGATGAGGTGATCGTTGTTGCTGTTGTGGTTGTTGCATCTGGGCTTTTAATTGATTGAGCTTCTCTTTCAATTGATCGATCTCCTCATTCTTATCGGCCAACATTGTTTCCATCAGATCGGGCAGTGCTAGTTTATTGATCATTTCATTTTGAATCTTGTTTTTCAACTGTTGAATTTCGTCACATTTAGCTTGCAGTTCTGCCTCCAGTTTCAACTCATACTGACTTCGATCGTTGTCAGCCTGATTCATGGCTAATTCCTTCTCCTGACGTTCGATGACTTGCTGACTGTTTTCCAAAAAGTTTTTCAAACTTGTTATCTGCTTATCTCGGGTCTGTAGGGTTTCTTTCAAGTTGACCACCTCGCTCTGCAGGTCATGTACCTTAACCGTCAGGTGAGATGTACCTTGACGATGGAGTTCTTCAGCGCGCAACCGTTGCTCGTCCAGCTTTGATTGAAGCGTGGTAATCTTGAGCGATTGCTCTGACATTCTCTCTTGAAGTACATCGCGCTCATGCTGTAGTTCCTGTGGAAATGGAATGGAAAGAGATGGAAAGATATGTTCAATGTCTTGGAAGGGAAAAATATGCTAACAAAACGGGAGCACAAATTTTCTGTAGGGGGAGTATTTGTTTACTCGCTAGAATCCCTATTCATTGCAGCTTTCTGTTATTGACTGGTCCATTGTGCTTTGTATGTATTTAACAGCTTTATAAATAGCACAGCCACATAAAACAAGACTGATGCAATGAACCGTGTAACATCATACCAAAGAAAATGGAAAACGTGCACTGAATGTATAATTTCAAACGATGATAGTTATGGAAGCAGAAATCCCAGATGGTATTGAGGAGGGAAACAAGTCTGGTGAATCGTAGAAATCAGAGACCAAAGTCAAAATAATATTGCTCTTATTAAAGTTAAGCAGATTTTTAGCTATAGGCCAGTTCATCCCCGGCTCTTTTCAAAATATCACAGCCTCAACTACAGCACAGGGTGGAGAAGCAAATATTGCTCCACTTTAGTTTTAGAAACACAAGATGGGTTCAATAATCAATTAGGTAACAAAGAATGTCACCAAAATCATTATTTTTGCATTCAACGTCAAACTTCTATCAGCCCCGGATTGCACCTTCACGCTATAATTATACATTAATTTGGTTCATGCCGCTAACAAGATTATCCTTATTTCACACCCCACGTGTGCAAGCATTATTTCTCTTGTGACTTCCCAACCGCCAAGAAATTGTACCACCCGATGGGAGGAAGCATAAAATGAAAGCGACTAAGAGGAGCTAACCTGTAGCGTTTTAATTTGTGTGAAACTATTACTTACCCCGAATGGCTCCGGGAGCTTCTTGAAGCCATTTGCAGTGGTGAACATTTATTAGCAAACAAATTATGTTTGTGTGTAACTACTTTTTTTGCTTTTTCTTCGTGCTTGCTATACAACTGCTATGGCTGTATATGATTGTGATTCAGTTCAACGTGATACAAAGAAAAAGTGAATTCATCTAGAAATGTCTACCGTAACGGGAGGGATACTGAGATGAAATGCGCGAGGAGCACAGCAGGAAAAATGCGGATAATACACGTGACGTAAAGTCACAAACAGATCTCAATAGGTGATGTATGTTTGGATTTTTTTATATATGACCGAAAAATGAATAAAGGTTGTTTGTGATAAATATACTTCGTGGTATGTAGTTGCCATTGATGTATAAATTTAGCATTATAAGCTACAACTATTGAACTTTACAATATTTTTAAATTAAAAAAAAAAAAAATCTGCCGTGTGCACCAATGAAATCAAATGAAAACTAACTAGATAATTAATAAAAATCCATAGTCATTTTCATATAACCCTCAAAGAGCCAGTGCAGTATGAATTCGTATTAAAATGTGATAACATTTTGGGAGAATTACCAGGAGTTGCTTTGAAATCGATATTTTGAACAACTTTAATACCCTCCTTTGTAAGGTAAAAACTAAATGTATCTACCTATGGTGAGATCTGAACCTTCTTGCTAAATCAAATTTTGAGCAAGTTCCCTGGTGGTATCCTAAACATAATTGGATGTGTCCAATGTAGTGATAAGCACTCGGTTTCGAAGCGGTATGTATACCCTTCTCTGTAAGAAGGGCAAACAACTGTAGTTATCCACCAATGGTGGGATAGTTTTATTTATTTTTTCTCACATGCTGGTTTTTGGTTCAATCATACCCTGAGAGAAGCAGAGAACAAAACACAGACCAAGATAATAATAATTTAAAAAATAGCAGTTTTTGACATCAGTGAGCGGTAATTGGAACATGAGCAGAAAATGATACACTCATTTTTTATAACGTTGGCCCTTTGTATCACCAACAAACACATGAAACATGAACTTAACTTTTGCTCAAAAATCTCTGATTCAAATGTGCATCGAGCCGATCTGTCAAAACCAAAGAATTTTTTTTTTCTAGATAAAAATAATTTGTACAGTCAGACATGAACCAAGTCACAAACGTGTGTTCGTGGCTTAGATAAACGTTTTCCGCGAACACGAAGACAGATGTCAGTAGTGTGCTTTGAGCAGAAATTTGATGGTCATTCATATCGGTTTGTCACTAAAAAGGTTCTAATTTCGTAAAACTCAACATTTTCCAGTTATTTTTTTTACTAGCGAAATCTATTGCGGAAATCAATCAAGCTGTATTGTAATGTTTCGCTATTTATAGGGTGTCCCAGAAAGCATACGTACATTTTCCAAATGCCAAATATTTTTAGCAACTGAGCAGGGCCAGCTCAAATAGGATTAAAAAAAATGAAAATTTAAGACTCGACCGATTCGCATGAAACTTCGCATAATGATGTGTTATGGGTAAAAATTGTAACACTAAAACGTCACTTCCAGTCTTCACGAGAAACAGACGGCGTTGAGCTTGAGTTCCAATTTCTTCAGCGCGCGTTCATTGAACGTGCGTGTTGTCTTTCGAACTCAGGTGTACTCTACACATCGAACGTGATACTTCGTACCTGCACGCAAGTGTGAACATTGAGGCTTGCTATGTTGCAACAGAAAGGGCAGACGAAATCGATGAACGCTTCTTATACGCCTTTAGCCTACACATCTTTTAGAGTAATGACATGAGAGTGGTGAACATGCAGGTCTAATACATTCTAAGTTCATGGTTCGAGTCTGACCTGTTCTCATTTATAATTCTTTCTAATATCATTCATTATTTCCTACGCCAACGCCTGGTCGCTGCACTTGAGTTCGAACGATGTTTAAACACTGAAGCAAACGATGTACGATCATAAACATTGTACTCACGTTGAGGTGTGTGTTCGTTTGATGGAGTGCACGCGTGAGCACCGCGTGAATATTTATGTAAGTTCAAAAGCCTGCTTGCAAATCGGTGCTAGACTGTACCGTGAAGACTGGTCACTTCTGATCGAAATGACGTCTGAGACAAACTTGTTTAGAAAAGTAAAGTAAATCTGGGAAAAATACACACGGCATTTTATAGTAAGTAATTTTGAATAAAAATTCAAAAAAGTGTTAACACACAAATGCTTTAAAAAGGATATCTTCAATACGTATAATTTACTTTTTAATTAATGCTCATGAAAAATTGACTTTTTTATTTAAAAAATTGAAGATTGCTTTTTGAGATAATTGAGTTACTAAAACTTGTTTTGAATTTTTACTCAAAATTACAAAAAAAGGGGGAAATGGATGTAATGTCGGCCTAAATACCCCTTATTTGAGCTCATATATTCAGCAACCGACTAAATTTTCAATGACGACCAAAATATCCATTAGTACCGTCCCAATGACGAGTTCAGCTAGATAAAATTGATAAATAGCAGATTTTTAGCGATGAGCCCAATCTTAGATCCATAGGCTAACATTAGATCCATTTCCCCATCAGAAGTGACGTTTTCGTGTTACAATATTGAAAATTATAAAGACACCTTTGTGAAAAAAATTATAACATCCACAATGGCCAAGTTTTTGTAAAAATTGTCCATAACACACAAAAATTATGCAAATCGGGGAAGGTCTAGTTTTTGGAACTGTTCAAATATTTATCGTTGAGTGTTGTTGTTTGCATGGAGTTCACTTTGAGAATCGTTCAAAAAAGGTTGTGTGTTTTTGCTCCGCTGCGTCTTTTTATTTTATTTTATTTTTTTGGAGCTCTTTGGGCTGTCTTTGTGCTGGCGTGTAATTTTTCGATGCTCGCATTTGAATAGTTTTGTGTCCCGGGCGCGATAATTTGATTTGGAAAGGTTTGTACTGATGTTTTCCCCTCTGTTGCTTAGGTGCTTGGTGTGCTCTCACTTCCCTTTGTTGCCGGTGTGACTCGATCTTTTGTTTTTGCGATGTGCATTGGTTTTGTGCACAGAGTGATTTGAAAAAGGAAAGTGATATTTAGTTATTGTGTGATTGGAATCACTGGAGGAGCATTTGTTTAAAAATAATTAGGGAAAAATATGCATGGAAGCATCGGGAATGCGCTTCCGGATATATTGATTTGGTGAGTACGTTCCAGTTGAAGATTGTTCTTATACATTTCTCGATTGCATTTTCGAGGGGACGTGTTTTGCTTTTGTGGGAGCGCGTTTGATGGTCTGTTTGGTGTGGCTGGTGGCTCGCCCGTGCTTGCTGGCGCCGCTATCAGGTAGAGGACAATTTCCCCTGTATGATGGTGGTGTTGGCGTGCGTGGGATGACCTCGATCGCATGAGGCACGTTGCTCGGTTTTTACGGTTAGGTGCCTACGAATAATTCATTACGCTTTTTTTTCATGTTGAAGCATAATTCGTTAAGAAAATAAATGTCGCGATCGAACATGCAAGTTTGGATTAGTTTATGATGTGTTGTAAGGTGTGTCCTTAACACAGTTTGAGTTTGAATAAATGCCAGGCTTATAGTAACTTTGCTTGATTATCGTGTGTTTTGTGAATCTTTACATCGTTATTCAACATCACCGTAGGGGCTGGTTTTGAATTGTTGCAATAACAACGCGATCGTAGCATGTATGATGTGATATGAGGGGATTGGTGGCCTTAGAGCGATTATTTTTGCTTACTGACTACACTCATAAAAGTCGACACATTTTTATTGGCGAATTTCCATGTAAAATTCCACATGAATTTTATGTGTCCACACATGAACAGAATCCACTCAGAAGTACACATGAAAATTATGAGCCAAATGAATAGTATGTGTGGTTACACATGAATTTTATGTGTTCACATAAGAACTATGTGTCCAACACATATATATCATTTGTTTATCACATTGCAAAAATTCATTCATTCAAAATAATCATTGAATTTTTATTAGTGTAGAACATCATGAGTTTAATCTCAAGCCCCTGAAGATTCGTTAATCGCCTAATTTGGTAATGTAAATACATTGATATAACAACAAATCAATCATTGGTGTGTTGTAATAAAAGGAGCTCGTTTGCCTTGTGGCACACGTTTTTGCTTACTGAGCAGAATATCATGGGGTCAATCCAAAGCTGCTTCGAG